CTCTTCAGAGTCATCACTTCTTTCGCTTCTTCTTCTCGTGACTCCTTTCCCTCGACTACTTGAGCTGCTGCTTGTTGATCCTGGATGTCCTTCACCTGAATCTTCATCCATGTCTTGTTCAGTCTCGCTTGGTGGATCTGATGCTGCCTCTTGGCTTGGGCTATAATCCTTCAATTCATCTTCTTGCTCTTGACTTCTTTCTCTTCTTGGAACCAACTCTGGCTTGTCACCAGTTGCTATCTCGATTCCACTGTGCGGTGGCAATCGCTTCGTTGATTTTCTTCCTACCAACATGTCTTGTGTGTAGTTCCACGGTGTCCCTGTTGCTTCTGCTAGCACTTCCACATCATACAGTGGCGTACACTGTCTTATCGTTCTGCTCTTGATGATTCCTTGTCTTGTCCTTATCAGATTCAGGTTGTTCACCGAGTCCTTTCCAACGAAGATTCCTTTTCTCCATGCTTCTCCCTTTTCCTTGACTTTTGGTACAGGCTTTGCCAATACTACGCTTCCCCATGGCGCTAATGTTCCTTTGTACTCTCTGTCAAACAGTACTTCAAAGGGTGTTGATCCTTTCTTCACAACAAACCTATTCAGCAGGAATGCTGCATGTCTTGCTGCCCATGGATACAGCGTACTTTCTGATGTGATCTTCACTTTCGATTGCGATTCAACTCCATACACCAGTGTCTTTGATAAGTTCCGAACTGTTTGAACCCATCTCTCAACTTGCAATCCTTGATGTTCATCTGACGCTACGTCTTGTATCTCTGTATCAAGATTCTTCATCTTCCGTATTCCTTGTACTTTCTTTCTCAGGGAAATCATTGCTGGTTCTGTGTCAGTTCTCAGAATGACCTTCGAATTTAACAGCATAAGTACTCTGCAGACTTCTTCGACAACGTATGCCGTCACTTCTTTTGTCGCTACTGGAATGACATGTACGAACTTTGTTGCTTCATCAACCATCACAAGGCCGATTGTCAATGCGTCCTTGCTGTCCTTTGTGTTCTCTTCATCTCGAGTTCCAGTGAACTTGAAATCCATTGAAACTAACGATGCTTCATTCTTCTTTTCAGATACATCGAAATTGTCTTCTCTTGATCTTGTTGCTGGACAGCTTTCACACCAATCTGCTTTTGGTAGATGTGTCAGTTCATGCTTCTTCCTTTCTTCCTCAGTTGGCATTTCTGGTCTCTTTTCTCCTTTTGGTTCTCTTGTGAATTCTAGTTCTAGTCCTTTGGAGATCTCAACCAATTCCTTCATCTTGTTTGCTGAAATAGCTTGCTTCAACCTTTGCCATATTTGAGTCTTGCTTCCAGTCTTTCCTATCTTCAGGAATTCACATGCTGTTCTCATCTCTTTGAGTGAACTTTCTGGGCTGAGTTCAACTCCTGCCACGATCATAGCTTCTTCCATCTTTTCTCCTAGCTTTGGCAGTTGCTCTTCAATTTTCTTCCACTCTTTCATCTCTTCTTCTGCAGGCGGTTCACTTGGAAACAGGTTTTCCATTGCTTCTGCTGCTTCCTTTTCCACTTGCTCTATGTTCTTCTTTGTGTCCTTTACTTCTTTGTGAACCTCCATCTCCACGTCTGCTGCTTCCACTTCTTTCTCTTGCTCTTTCTTCTTCTTCTTTGAAGATGTTCTTTCATAGTCACCATACTCTTCAATTCCCAGAGACTTTCTCTCCAAGATCGTGATGATCACCGAGTTCTCTTCAACTGCGTCTATCGCAATCTCTTCTCGGTCTTCCCACTTCTCAGCGCACTCCACAAACTCCAGTTCGCTCCATACGATGCTGTCACCATCGTACCTCGATACCAAAGTAGTTCTGAACTTGAATGCTTTCACATCATCATACGTGGGGTCATAGGTCACATACTTGTCATAATCGATCCTTGCTGGCTTCCCATCTGACATGAAAAACCATCCTTGATGATACTTCATCTTCTCGAAATCATCTTCCATCTGCTTGATCAGCGTCAGCTTCCTCACTTGTGGTTCATCACTTTCAACCTTCACTTGTGCTCTGTAGATCTTGAGGTCCGTCACTGTTGAATTTCTTGCAAACCTCACTGGCACTTTTGCTGAACCTTTCTTCAGGTAAGCATTGAACTGGTCTAGAGGATCAAGTCCCCATCCGACTTTCCACAACTTGCCTACTGCAAATAGTGGTTGTGTTACATCTCCGAACACAGCTGAATCTCTTACCTTTATCACTCTTCCATCTGTTCTCTGGAATTCAAACGTGATATTCGCTCTTGTTTCAGTGGTCCTTATTCTGTTGCCTTGAGCATCTTGAATGACCATTCTCAAAGCTGGGAACTCAACTGTTCCTAAGTCTTCACTGTAGTAGCATAGCGGAAGTACATGACAATCCGCTCCACTGTCTAACACGACTTCAACGAGTTCTGCATAGCTTGAACTGATTGCTCTTACTCGATGCACTTCTGGTTCTTCATCTTGAACACTTCCGAAAAGTCTCTCTCTTTCTCTTGCATGCTCGGCATTCTTCTTGTCCACTTGCAGATCTTCATACCACTTGTGAAGTTCATCCTTCTCATAATCTTCTTCATCACTCTCATCGACCATGCTTGACATGAAGATAACTGTGTTGACCTTCACTGCTCTTGCTGCATAGTCCATCACCATCTCTTCGAACATTCCTACAAGATCGACGTACTCTTCTTCATCGTCGAACACTTCTTCAATCACTGGCATAGGCGTTGTCACCAACCTACGCACTTGCTCATTTCCTTTTGCTCCTTGTGGTGGCTTTGCCTGTGACTGTGTAGAAGAACTTGGTTGCTCTTCATACCATTCTTCCTCGCCTGTCTCTTGGACGTTGCGAACTTTTCCTTTTCCTTTTCCTTTTCCTTTCGGTGGCGACCAACACTCTGAAGAGTAATGTCCAGTCTTACCACAATTGAAACACACAGGTCCGTTTTGTCCACCTTTTCCTTTTCCTTTGTCACTCTCGTAGCCTTTTCCTTCAGCCTGCCTGATGCTTTTTCCTCCTTTCTTTCCATATCCTTTTCCTTTTCCAAAACCTCTTCCTTTTCCTTTTGCTTTTCCTCTACCACCTTTTCCTTTTCCGTATCCTCTGCCCTTTCCTTTGTCCTTTCCTTTTCCATAAGGGCTTCCTTTTCCTCCTTTGTCACCTTTTCCTTTTCCATCTCCTTTACCTTTCCTCATGTGCAATCTATCGAGTTCCATCGGTATTGGTCCTTGATAAGTCTTGTTGCTTGAGTGCGACGTTGGGTCTGGAACACTCAATGATCCTAAGATATTCTCAGCTGACCATGTCTGATTGCTTCTTTCGTATTGTAGCAGCTTTGCTCTTAACTCTTCATATGTGGTCTTGTCAGTGATATCGACCATCACATGCTGCTTGAGGTGCTGCGGTATTCCTTTCAGCAGTGTACCGATCTTCAAGTTATCGTCATACTTCTGGCCTGAGAGCTTTTCGTACTCTGCTGTGAGCTTCTCGTATGTCAGGACGTAGTCCATCAACGATGCTCCTTTGCTCATGGCTGGGAATCCAACCAGTGCCTGAGCCATTGCTAGACTCCTTGAACGAGATGTCGGCTCTAGTTCAGCCGTCAACTTTCTCCACACTTCAAATCCATTCATCCCGCTTACACTTCTCAGAACTTTCAGAGGTCTGTTTCTCAAGTAACTGCTTAACACTGAGTAAAGCTTTGTTCCTCTGTTCACTCTTCCTTGATCATTGTTGAAGAATCCATTTGTCACGTCCATTCCTATCGCAGCTGTTTGTTCTTCTGCTGACTTCAGGTCCTTCAGGAATTCTTGGTCCATGAACGCTAAGAAGTTCTTGAACGTAAATGACCAGTCACTCCATTGTGACACTTCTTCTTCAATCGTAGCTGGATTAAACGATTCCGGTGGCTTGAGGATCTTACCTCCAGTATCAAAACTTACTGAAGCTGGCTGGCCTCCCGAAGGGGCTGCCTGGCTCACTCGAGCCGGTGATGCTTGGGCTTTTGCCAATGCATCCAGTGCTGTTGTCAATTGCTGTTGCTGCACTGCTGTTCCTTGTGCAACTCTTGCCATCGCTTCTGTAGCTTGGCCTAGCGTATTCATCAGCTGTTCCAACCTTGCCTGCTGGGGGTTAGGCTGGTGCTGCGCTTGTTGGGCTTGTTGTTGCTCTTGCATCTTTTCAACACTTTGGCAGGTCCTTGTATATCTGGCCCAAGGTCTTCACTTCCACGCTTTCTCCGACTTTGCAAGGTGCTCTTGGCTTAGCCGTAACTCCTCGCTGTTCTCCGACAGGATGCTTTTGGTAAACCGTAACTTCCTGTTCAACACTTTTCACCTTTTCCAGCTCGTGGCTGGCTTCCCTGGATCTTTGCTTGATCAGCTGCTGGCCTTTGCCAACAGCTCCGCTACCATGAAAGTTTAAACCCTTAAACCAGTATCCTTCTCTTAACACGGCGCGAGCTTCGGAATCTTTTCTCACTACTCGCTCTGCTGTCAGGCTGTCTTGAGCCTACGCTTGACCTACGGAGACACGCAGTGAAACATGCGCCTTCAATAGAACCGGAAAGGTCCTGGCCTGCAGCAGCACACGAAGTCCGCTGGGATCGCAATGTTTTCTCTGCACTGAAGCTCCGTAGCGCTTTTGGGTTTAAAGTCCCTCCCTCGAGAGGTAATGGCATCGGAAAGATACCAAGTCACAACTCTGCAGTGCACGACGATGCCGAATGCCTGGCAGGCTTTCACACGGGGAGGAAAAGGGAGTGGAAAAGAAGTGGCACCTTAAAGCCTTAGGCGCCCTGTCCCGTGTTCTCTTGAAGGAAAGCCAAAAGCGTTTTCGGCTCGGTCCGACGTCACTGCTGTTGAAAGAATGAAAGAATCACTCCCTCAGCCTTGGCCTGGCCATTGGCAGTCTCTACAAAGTGTGAGACGACGTTGCCCATGCCCTCGAATGTGTCCACAATCCGGAGAGGCGTGAACACAGGTTCCCCTCGTGGTGCTCGTCACAAAAACTGCAAGGGGAGTTGCACGTTGGGCTGAGGCCGAGGTTGAGGATGAGGAGGAGGGGGAGCTTGCCCTTGACGCTGACGCATGATCTGGATCAGCTCCGTCTGGCTTCGGTTGGACATCTGAAGCTTCATCACCTCATTCTGCAAGTACTCGTTCTCCGACTCCAGCTCGCCGATGAACATCTGCATGGTCATCTTCTCGACGTCGCCAGTGGTCTGGGTCCCGACGGTAGCCAGATCCTTGGTGTCCTGATCATCATGCGTCGCCTCTGTCTGGTCTGGTGGGCCGCGCTGGCCCTTGTTCCACCACTTCCACGCGCAAGCGATGAAGAGGACGATGCATGCAAAGAAGACGATGAGTGCCAGCAGCTTGTTGAGGTCGTAGTCGATGTAGAGCATGTAGGCGCCCAGGTCGTTCATGTAGTACTGGGTGGTGTCGGGGTTCTCGAAGTCGGTCGCTGCGTCGCCCGCGGTGCTGAGAGAGTTCACGGCCAACACCTGTGCAATCTTCCTCGCCACTTGAGAACCATACGCACGATCTGAAGCACTCTGGCGCTCAGCTGGGGTCTTCTTCTTTGCCGCAAGGAAGTTGGGGTCGAAGTGGAGACAAATTCTCCCAGAAGCCAGCTTATCCACCATGGACTGCCGTGCACCTATCTTCGTGAGCCCGTCTGCCAACATCACCTCAGAGCTGACCCATCGGACGGTGGCTCCTTGTCTCTCCAGCTCTTCCTGGATGCAGATGATCTCAATGCCGGTGCGCTTGTCGTGCTGGCTGTTGAAGCCAGGACGCTTCAATGCATCATACAATGCCTTGGCATCCACCACAATCGCCGCTTCACCAACCCACTTTGCTGTGGCCGGGTCCTTGGGATCCTGTCGAGGATCCAGCATGAGTGAGATCATTGTTCGGAGGAGCATCATCTCATCCACGGCGGCAGAGCAGGCCTGAGCCTCGGCACTGAGGCTGCTGCGGCAAACTCGTGGCAGTTTAAAGGATCGCCAGCTCATGATGTTGTAGTCCGTCGGCTCCCCGCGCATAGCCTTCTTGTGGGTCAACAGGATCATGAAGCCTCCCTGTGACGACCCGTCTGGCCGCACACCGTAGGCTGCATCGCTGAAGCAGAGGAAGCACAGATCCTTCACGTTGTAGTCGAGGCCGTGCATGCGGATCTCATAGTCACCGGTGTTCTTCGCAAAGCGCAAGGCCTTATTGAGGTTCAGAAGGAGGTCGTTGTCACCCTTGCCAATGTCGGCTGCAAGGATCGAGACTGTCGCTGACAATGGCGGCAGCCCCTGCACAGCCGGCCACTGAAGAGCTCCAAGAAGTCCGCGCGCTTTGGACGTGTCCTTGCTCGTGAGCTTCCGTGGAGCTCCTTGTCCTTTGGGAATGGTGATCGGGTGCACCTTCTTGAGGTAATCAGCATAGCTCAGAGACACACCATCAACAGTCATCTTGATCTTGCCGCCGCAGTACATGATGGAGTGTTCCTTCGTGAGCTCCTCCCACTTTCCAAAGTTGAAGGCACCACGCAACGCCTTCAGAGCAGCTGAGAACTCCTTGTGGTACTTCGCACCTGCCACCAGAAGGTCGTCGACATGCAACACCAGGCATCCAAGTAGGCTGCCCTCGCTAGAGTAGTAGCAGAACAGGCAGCGATCCAGAGGATGGACCTCCCACTTGATGGCACGCAGTCGGCGTGTTGCCTCTCGGTGCCAGAGAAGGGGAGCGTCGGCCAGCCCGTAGGCGGACTTTAGCATCCTCATGTAGGTGGGACCCTGGTCGGTGCATCCAAGCAAGGGGCCGCAATCGGCTGGCAGCTTTACGATGATCTTCCTATCGAAGTTTGCCCCAGATAAGAAGGCCGTCTTCACGTCACCGCAGAAGATGGTCCATTGCATGATGGGGGCTAGCGCTAAGATCACGAACTTTGACTGTTTGGTTGCTGTCGGGGAGGCCTTCTCTAAGTCAAAAACATCCGGATCCTGAAATCCTCGCAACACCAGCCTTGCCTTCGCCTTGGGTGGGCCTCCCTCGGTCGGAGTCTTCCAGTTCAGCACCCACCGTGCTGTCACAACACGATCGTGCTCTCCAGGAAGAAGAGAAGTGAACTCCCACACGGCATTGTCGAAGTAGCTGGTGAGCTCCGCCTTCTTTGCGACAATCATCTTCTCTCTCTCTCTCTCTCTCTCTCTCTCTCTCTCTCTCTCTCTCTCTCTCTCTCTCTCTCTCTCTCTCTCTCTCTCTCTCTCTCTCTCTCTCTCTTCCACACTCATTCGTTTCTCACTGGTCTCCCTGGCCAGCCAAGCTTCATCCATCGCCAGGTTCCCGTCGATGACCACCCAACCAGTTGGCAGCTTACTGTCACCGGCATCGGTCACAAAGACATCGTCCAGGTAGAGGTCCTCGTCATCCTCCGGCACCGGAACATTGTGTGGTCTGGATCAATCGGCACGTGACTGGCAGTCGCGGCTCCAGGGGGAAGAGAGGACGAAGAAGAAGAAGCAGCAGCAGCGGCATCGGCGCCGGTACGGAGGCGCTTGGGCGACTCCGGGGCGGGAGCGTCGGTAGACACCTGACGACGCGGGGCGGGCCGGCGCGATTCTTCGCCAGCTTCATCACCATGAGAAGCCAACGCGCGCTGGTACAGCAAGACAGCGCCCGGAACAACAGGAGGCTCCATGGCCTCATCATCAGCATCGCTTGCACGGGCTGCTCCAGGATCGGAGGGCTCGTAGAAGGGGCTGTTTGCACCATCAAGGAGGTCCTCAACGTCCGGGGGCTCGTCTTCATACACATCACGAAATTGCGTGGTACTGCGAGCACGTAGGTCTTGAAGGTCGCGCATAGCCGCCGCAGGGTCAGCGACTGTGGCATACCCCAGCTCCTCAACAACAGGGCGGACTTGGTGAGGTCCACACCGTAGCAAGTTGGTGCCGTGTGCCACCCAAACCACAGTGACCTTCTTCTCATCATTCACCTCATGCGCCACCACGCGCGCTGGGCCTCGCCACTTGCTCTTTTGCAGAGTAGGAAGGCCTTGAACACGCCAGTAGTAGCAACGCTGACCTACAGCAGGCAGTTCCTGCTGCTCCCGAAAGGTCTTGTTCATGGCTCTGCGAAGGCGTGCATCAGTGTCGGCCCGAAGGAAGGCCTGTTGTGCTGCAAGCCGCTTCTGTTGCACCGCCGCAAAGTCCGAGGGCTCATCAATCGGGTCAGCAGCGGGGTTGAAGAAGTCGGCGGTGAGGCTCGCGGCATCCATCGGGCTGCGACCGGTGACCCACTGATTTGGCGTAAAGCCTCGAACAAAGCTCATATTGTTGATCTGGCCAGGGATGTACACCAGGGCGTCCTTGAGGTTCGAGAAGCTCTTTTCGCCCCGGTCGTCCATGAAAAGCTCGATGGCCCTTCGCACCACTTGGTGCTTACGCTCCACAGAACCAAGCCACGAATGGCACTCCGCAGGAGCCACTTCCAGGGTCACACCGTGGTCCGAGGCCCAGTTCCGAAGTGCCTGTGAGGCCCAGCCCTTGGCCTCGTCGACGCGTAGGTACTTAGGCACCCCGAACTGCTTGATCCATGCTCTCTCGACGCCGTTGATGAAGTCAGTGCGCTTCTCGGAGTGAAGGAGCCTCACGGCCACATAGCGAGTGGCCTGGTCCATGATCGTCAGGATGCACTTTCTTCCATCATCAGTGTCAACCCAAGCACTGTCCGCCATGACTCGATCATTGAAGTTTCGAGCTGTCAGCCCGGCGGCGGGTGGCACACTGCCAGGCTTCTTTCGCGCATAGCACTTCGCACACACATACTCCTTCGCCGCCTGCTTCACGGTCTCTGTTGCCTGAACTTCCTCCAGCATTCTGAGGAGAACTTCAGGAGAAGGGTGTCCCAAGCTCTTGTGCAATCGGACCACGTAGTTCATAGCCTGCGATCCAACCTTCTTTCGTAGCTCCTTGTTCTTCTTGACGTGTTCATCATCTTCAGGTTGCTGTCCAGAGGCATCAGGCATATCAGCATCGTCCAAGTTGGGGTCCTCGTCCTGGGCGAAGACACTGTCCTGTTGAATGAGGTGGTCGTCGGGGTCGTCGTCGATCATCAGGCGAGCCAGCCGTGCATCCAGCAGTTCTGGTCGTCGTGGTTCTGGTTCCTCTGGGCGACCTGACTCATCACACTGCTCCTCGAAAGAGCTGTGGCCGTGGTTTCCCGGACACGTGGCGGCCAAGCCTTCTCGAAGAGATCGCTTTGTAGTCAAGTAGCACGTTGGTCTCCTGGCAGGACGAGTGGTGCCGTCGGTGTTCGGGAGCATGAGGCCGTAGGCGCACTGATCCACATAGGTGGTCCAACCCTGCATTCGACGAAATGCTTTGGTGAACCATGCTCGGCTCTCCCAGGGATGCTCCACATGTGCATGGCGCCCACCTCGTCGCTGTTCCTCGAAGGTCACCATGACAAAGGTCAGGATGTTGTTGTGGTCATCCTGGCGTGCCTTCACAAGGCGCTCCTTTCGGCTGGGATTGCCGGCAGTGGTGGCCTCCAGACGAGGAGACCAGAGCCGACACACAGGAGTTAGCAACACTTCGTCTGGCTGTTCTTCGCGAAGACATTGGAGAAACTTCCGGCGATCTTTCGGTCGGTTAAAGTTCCAGCCTGTCTTGCGGGCGAAGGTCTCGACCTTCGCTCCGAACTCCTTAGCCTTCGCACCAGCCTGACCACGCGCACCGAACACCTCCCAGATCACCTTCTGGTCGCTGTCCACGATCTCCTTGGCCTGATTGAGCAAGCGTTTCTGGCTCTTGTTAGCCTCTGTGGCTGAGAGAACCAACGTGTGTAAAGTCCCCTTGCCCAGGGTCCGGACTCGGTCGTCGCCAAGTTCAACGGTCTTGCGGTCACCAAGGTTCGCGGTCTTGTGGTCGTTGAGGTCTATGGTCTTGTGGTCGTTGAGGTCTGCGGTCCTGTGGTCGTTGAGGTCTGTGGTCTTGTGGTCGTTGAGGTCTGCGGTCTTGTGGTCGTTGAGGTCTGTGGTCTTGTGGTCGTTGAGGTTCACGGTCTTGTGGTCGTTGAGGTCTGCGATCTTGTGGTCGTTGAGGTTCGCGGTCTTGTGGTCGTTGAGGTCTGCGGTCTTGTGGTCGTTGAGGTTCGCGGTCTTGTGGTCGTTGAGGTCTGCGGTCTTGTGGTCGTTGAGGTCTGTGGTCTTGTGGTCGTTGAGGTCTGTGGTCTTGTGGTCGTTGAGGTTCGCCCCCCGGATGTTGTAGGTCACGTGGGGGAAAGACGGAGCGGCGCTGGCATCGCACTGGGGCTCATTGTCCGGGGCTCCAACCTCGGTACTATAGTCCCTGGATGACGTTGTCACTGTCGTTGCTCCGGTAGCTCCATGGTCGTTGCCTCCAGCTTCATCTTCATCTTCGCAGCTGAAGACCATTTCAGCAGGGATCGGGTCCAGGTAGTCGACGTGATGCTCGAAGTCGTCGGGGGCCAAGATGTCGGAGTACTCGACGTTGGGGTCGAGGAGGGCATCGTTCTCCACAAGGCGCAACTGATGCTCCCCGCGGTGTCCACACGGGATGGCCTGCCACTCACACCCAGGCCATCTCATGCGTTTGTTCTGGTAGTCCACGGTAATGCCAAGCTTCTCCAGCAGCGGGGCCCAAAGAGGATGGGAGCCGTGCCTTCGATGATGTAGGTCAGCACTTGCCGTTTCTTTCCGCCCAGAACAACAGGAAGAAGAACACACATCTTTGCCACTTCGGTCTGGCTGTTGCCATAGCGAAACCCCTTCTTGCACGCAAAGATCCTGAGGTCCGCCAGGTCAAAGCCGCGCTCGACCAAGTAGCTTAGGTACCGTTTCACGCTGTGCCGACTGCCAAGAACAGAAGCAGCGCCGCCATCTTGAACAGTCAGCCCACACGAGTCAAGATCCAAGCCGTCGTGCTCGTCAAGCGCGTAGGTCTCGACCATGAGGATCTCGGCGTCGTCCTTGGGGCTCCCGTCCACTCGTCGCTTCTTGTCCGGCGATCCAGGACAATTCTTGGCCCAGTGTCCAGCCTGTCCACAGCGCAAGCATATTTGGCGTCCAATGGCCGCCTGTCCACGACTACGGCCCTTTGGTGGCAACGGCGTCTGTCGGTCTTTTCCACTGTCTCTTCCTTTGCCCTTGCCCTTGCCTTTGCTCTTGCCTCTTCCTTTCGTTCCTTTCGTTCTCGGTGCCGTCGAGGGAGAACCACCACGGTCAACGAGAGCCACGACAGGGTAGAAGCCACGTGACACCCGCATAGAATTCAATCTCGCCTTGGCATCGCTGTAGCTGGCATACACCTCGTCGTACTCCTCCACGTCGAAGACATCTTCTCCTTCACCTCCATCGGCACCATAGTAGTCCTGATCGACATCGGGCCACGGGGTGAACGCATCATCGGTGGCCTGCCAGTACATGTCGTCGTAGTCCTCGTACTCGTCCTCGTCGTAGTCGGGGTCGTTGTCCTCGTCCAGGTAGTACATGGAGTCCTTGCCGTTGGGCTTGGTCCGCGGGTCCGGCTTGGAGTCCTGGCCGAGGATGAAGTTCATGGCCTTCATGGTCTGCTCTACGGTCAGGTTCTCGGTGCCCACGTTGGTGAGTATGAGCTGCCGTTGGTCGCGGGACAGTCCAGCTTTCCGCAAGTACCACCATGCCTTCACCTTCTCGGGGAGGTTGACAGCGTGGGTGACTCGTAACTGCCGTTCTGCACGGGAGAAGTCAGTGCTGTAGTCCTGAAGGGTCTGAGTTCCCTTACGGTGAAGTCGCACGAAGAAGTTCTCGAAGTCCTCCGGGAGCTCGGTCAAGGGGTCGTACTTGAAGCCTTTGTCCAACCTGTCAAAGACAGTTTGGTAGCCTTGCTCGCCCTGGAGAACCTCCAGCTCGATGTCATCCACCAAGTCCCAGGCCTTGCCTTGGAGGAGGGTGATGATGTTGAAGACGGTCTCCTTCGAACGGCCAGCCATGGACATTTTTGTCTTGTAGATCTCGCGTCTTTTCCTGAACTCCTTGTAGCCACGTTGGGTGTTGTCGAAAACGGGAACATAGTTGTCCGCTTTGCTGGTCACCTGTGTGGCGCTGCTGTGGCCCTCTAAAGAGGAGGGCTGCGAAGTCTGTTGAGTCTTTGGTGGCATCGACCACAGGTAGCTTCCGGAGCGAAGGCTGAGCCAACGCTCCGCTACCAACTTCAATAGAACCGGAAAGATCCTGGCCTGCAGCAGCACACGAAGTCCGCTGGGATCGCAATGTTTTCTCTGCACTGAAGCTCCGTAGCGCATTTGGGTTTAAAGTCCCTCCCTCGAGAGGTAATGGCATCGGAAAGATACCAAGTCACAACTCTGCAGTGCACGACGATGCCGAATGCCTGGCAGGCTTTCACATGCGCTAAATCGGGCATGAGGGAAAATTGAACATTCTGTTAAGATGACACCTTGGCGTCAGGTTCGCGGAACAGACTTGAAAGTGTTCTTGATGTGATCAAATCAAAATACAAAGTGTCAGCAGAGATGATGATCCAGGAAGGCGATGAAATCTCTTTCTTGAAAAGGAAGCATGTGCTTTCGAGCGATGGTGCACTGATCATTCGTCGTTCCACCAAGCATCTGAGCAAGCTTCTTGACATGTTGGGACTTCAGAATGCTGCCATCAAGCGGACCCCACTTCCTTCATGGAGCAACGAGGACCTTCGTGATGACGGCGAGTGTTTGTCATCAGCTGATCAAGCGACCTTCCGCAGTGCTGTAGGTGTGCTTATGTATATGAGTCAGGATTGCGGCGACTTGCAATTCACCATTCGACTTCTGTGCCAACACATGTCATCCCCGAGCAAGCGAGCATTCGATTTAATTGCTGCGCCATGTTGCACGCTGTGCCAAGGGCACTGCAGGCTATGCGCCGTCAATGTCGCCCACATCTCCTGGTGTTGGCATTCGTGCCCGAGCTGCGAATGAAAGGTCTTCACTTGTTGAAATTATGTCTGACTCCGACTGGAGTGCTTCGAAAGTAAACCGCCGATCTGTGAGCGGATGCGTGTGCTTGATTGATTCCAATGTGGTTGCGAGCTCAAGCCGCACCCAGAAGTCGATCAGCTTATCTTCATGCGAAGCTGAAATCTTAGCTTTGACGGCTGCCTGTGCTGAAGGAATCTTTCTTCGTGAAGCCGTGTCGTTTTGCACCCAACGTCCTGCCGAATTCATAGTCTACACTAACAGTGCTTCTGCTCGCCAGTTCCTTGCCAGACAAGGACTAGGGCGCTTGCGTCATCTTGATCTGCGGCTGTTGTGGTTGCAAGACCTTGTGCGATCGCACCAATTGCGCTTGAGTGCTGTGCCAGGGCCCGAGAACTTAGCAGATTTGCAGACGAAAGCTTTGAAAGCTGATCGCATTCGGTATTTGCTTCATGGGTTCAAGGTTCGTGACGAGGCCAATTCAGATGAGCTTGTTGGTGTTGCCGAAGCCACGGCAATTGGGGGTCGTGTTGCAATCAGTGCTGCTGTGCGAGCGGTTCGCTCGTACCGAGGTCCCGCTTCCAAGCTGAGCCTCTTGCTTCAGGCATTGACAATCGTTGATTCCTTTACGGGATGCGCGACACAAGGCCGGGAAGACACCCTGAGCGGTTACGGCCTCCTCGGCTTTGCCGTTTTCGCAATTTTTTGCATGATCATGTGGATTGTTTTGCGATTTTGCCGTGCACCTGTGCCTGCTGATGAGCCCCAGCCTGAGCTTGAGCCAGATGTGTCAGACCATGGCGGGGATAGCAGCAGCGAGTCCTCTGATGTTCATGATGCCACCGCTGCTGGATCCAACGATGTGCCTGTGACGGCGATTGTGCCGGTGACAAATCCTGTGCTGAAGCAGGCCCCTGTTCTACCTCCAGCGACGGTCACCGTTCGCCGTGATCCGAATGATCTGTTTGTGTACTATACGCGGTATGGTGAGTGCATGCATTCCTTGCGGGATTGTCGTGGACTTCGCAGTGCCAATCGAATCTTCGGAGATCCGCTCCATGTTGTGCTTCGCACACGGCCTGGACTGAGGCCATGTATGTTCTGTGGAGGGCCGATCTACACTGTGCTTGAGCGCTTGCGTGCGCCTCCTCGTGTGGCAGTGTTTGAGCTTCCCCTTGGTGAGCCTGAGCCCGATGATCAAAGTGATGCTTCGCAGAGCTGAATACACAGCCTTCTTGAAGTGTAATGCTCATGATGACTTGCACTCTTGAATTACGCGCCGCGATGTTGCAATGCCCACACGACTTGCACAACGAACAGATACCTGTCAACACACTTGCTTCATGCCAGTAGCGCTTACAATGCTTGGGTCACTTGACCTAATCCCTTAGCTGTATGCCTGTTTTCCCTTTTGTGGTTTAGCATAGGGCTAGTCCAACTTACTTGAGACAGAAGCGCTTAAGTTCTTGTGACAGCCGAAACCACTTCGTGTTTCAAGATGCGTGGGGATTTGATGTTGATGATGCCCTTTGTCGCTCACCCCACAGCGGGCCAGTGCCACATGCTAGCCGGGCGTTGTCCCTGGTGGGGCCCCGCCGGCATAGCCCCAAGATCTTCCGGTTGCTCCAAGACGAAGAAGGTAGCCGAAGCAAAAATGTTGCCAAGGATAGCCCGGTCTCGCTCTTTTGAGGTGAGCTTAGCCAGGCCGCGGGGCTCGCCGAAGCTGCGAACGGGCCGTGGGCCTTTGCGGTTAGCCCAGGTAGCCCGTGAGAAGGTCGCCACTGGAGGGGACATAGCCACAATGTCATAGGAGCCCGACTTGACCATCGTGAGATATTTGGATCTCGCCTTGGAGGTAGCCAGGTCCGTCGAAGGACTTCTCACCAGATCTACGCAGCATATATCCACATCGACGCCGTAAGTGGAAGCTAGCTGTCGGAGATGCCACTGGAAGCTTCCCTGTCTCTCCCGGCCCGAAAAGAGGTACAAGACTTGTAGCCGGCGGCTGGTAGGAGGTGGAGCCGGGGTAGCCGAAGGTGGACTCGCCGTCGGCGGCGCAGGAAGTCAGTTAGCCGCAGTCGATGGGGTAGCCGCACCCGGGCAGTTGAGGGCCGAGTGCTCGCCCCGACACTTCGTGCAAACATGCACGAAGTGGCACTTATCCCCCTTCTTACAGCCACCTTTCAAATTAAACCGAAAACAAATGGGCTTATTATCCTCGGTGCGGTTGAAGGTGCCAGTCTTCGCCTTCTTGTTGCTATCCTTGCCATTCTTGCCCTTGCCTCTGCCCTTGAGCTATGTTGAATACTGGCGTGGTTGCCCTCTACGAACTCAGCCACTCTCTCTTTCCCTTTCCCACACGTAAGCCTTACTCACTCCCCGTGCAGGCAGATCCAGAGCTCGCTTGTTTACACCTTCGCGGCCAGCGATGGATCGTCTGTGCTCGGGATGGCTCTGTCCCTCGGAAGGTCACAGAAGACGATAGCTATTTAGCTATGGGCAATGCTTTCTAGAGCATGTGCTCACACTTGAGCCAAAGTTGCGTGGGCGGAAATCATACAGGAAGGTTCGGCATTGCGGCGTGCGTAGCACTTCCACAAGCCTACACCTAGAGATGAAGGACGCGTAGCGTGCCTTCTCTCTTGACCTTTACATGGCCATGCTCACAGCTCTTATCGTGACACCATAGAACTTGACTAGGCATCGCAGTCCGTTCGCACCCCCCATGAGTTGCGTCTCCGACGCTGCTCACCCGGAAGTAGGCGCGATAGGAACACTAGGGATTAGTCCGCCGCAACTTTGATATATGGATCAGAGCCTTGCATCCCAATTAGAAACGGTGTGACACTCATCTACGTCAGTGACGATCCCCTGAAATGACAAACGAATCAGGCGTCACCGAAGAAAGAGGCATTCGCAATGAAATTCATGAGCGAAGCGCAGAGGTCACGTGCATAAAGGCATAGCCGATTACGAGTTGTCCCGATACCACCGTCGTGTAGCCGCGGGATCCGATGGGGGATCACGCTCCCAGGGTCTGAGATTTTGCTCCGGGTACGGAGATCTGCCCTTCCCCTTGGCTTTCCCCTTGTTTCTGCTCTTGCCCTCGATGTAGTCACATGGTAAGTATTGGAATTCCAACCTCCATGTCTTCCACCTCCTCGTGGGCGAGCTTTCGGGGCAGCAGTGGATGCGGAAGCACTCGAGGTTTCTTCTGCCGTGACAGGTGTGTCCATGATGGAGGTCTGTCCGCGCGGAAGATACTCGTCGGCTGAAATGTGATGTAGTGCTTCAAGACGACGTGCATTTGGATGCTGTTGTCTTTCGAGCCTACTGGCACGCAGCTTGTCCAAGAAATGTGATGGCATCTGTACGTTGCGATCCACAAGCAACCCTATGGTCTGCACGGAATGGTCCATGTGCATCAGGAGGATCCCAACTGGGTCGATGTACAGAAAGTCCACTGGTCCAGTCGGTGTAGGTCGAAGAACAGAAAACTGCGAGTGTCCTGTCACCATGGGAATAACTTCGCATAGGACGTTCAAGCAACAGAAGTGCATGACCTTCGCGTCAGTCTCATCCTTCAGGTAGGTGCTTGGGTTGAAGTTTTCCCTGCCAATTCCCATCATGTTTGCTCCTCGGATAGATCAGCTGGTTCGTTCGGAAGCGCTTAAGAGTGTACGTCCCGTTGGGATCATACGCCTTGGCATTCTCCCTTTCCTTGGCAAAGCGAATGATCTCTTCATCAGTCACCTCCCTGCTCACACCAGTCTCGGAATCCAATTCTGCCAGTACACCCCATTTTCCAAGCACGTCATAGCGTTGGCCATTGGAGAAACTTTCTTTGAGCTGGAATAATGGCATAGTCACCCACTTCGCCAAGCCGGACCACGTCTTGTAGATGCATCTGCAGACCACAAACGCCATGTAGGAGAGAGCAGCCATGTTAGCACCGATGCAATGAGCATTTCGCTTGTTGTGGTAGTAAGGCGGTTGCATAGCGGTGCGGGCGATCTGCAGCTCAGGATCGATGTTCAAGGACTGAACAGCAATGAGGACAGGACGACGTTCAAGCGCCACATCCTCGGCTACATCGTCGTCAAAGTCCGCCATTGGATCTGTGTCCATTTCCTCGTCGGGCTCCTGTTCTGCATCTTCCTCTCCGATGATGGAAGCTTCGGGAATGCCTTCGGGTTCTGCCACCGTTTCGACCTCCATAGCTTCTTGCTCCTCAGCAGTTGTCTCAGGTACCGCTGCAGCTGCAGCCTCCATTGTCTGGGCAATGAATTCACTGGGGATCTCCGTAGGAGTCTCCCGTTGTGAGGTGCCTT